TTCCATGCAGCCAGCTTTCCAGCAGTTTTGGATGGTGGTTGCTCTGTGTTTTAGTTGTGATTTTGATGTGGTTGAGGGAGGTGGCGAGTACAGACGCTTACCTATGTTGCCATCTTCTGCGCTCCTGTGCCATGGCTTTTTAAAAAACGCTTTAAGTTCGTTATTGTTTAAAGTGTTACGTAAGTCTCCCCCCTGTGACCTCCCCCCAGGCTTTGTGAGCGGGTTTCCGTGTGAGGGCTTCAGAGCTGCCCGGCGGGCGCGCCTGTGTCTGAGTTGGCGCGGATGCTTGGGTCAGGACAGGGGCCTAAGGGCAGCGCATTAAACCGGAGCTCCGATGGATGCACCAGGTGTGATCGGTAAGAAATTTACTGTGAGATCCGGAACCAAAACAGAAATTTCAACGAGGATTATCAAGACAGTTTCGGAGGTTTAGGGGGTTTGCCAAGTGTGGCTGGGGGGCGGGGTTGAGGGGAACGGGAACTGGTAATTTAATGTGTGCCTGTTTCCGTTCGGGGTGATTAGCATGTTTTGAGCCGTAATAGAGGTGGCTGTACAACATAATGAATGTACTAAACGCCATCAGGCATTTAAAAATAATGTTATGCTATTTTTCAAAATCCGGTATAAAAGGATGAGTGAGATCAGCGGTCGCCAACCTTTCAGACCTCACGGACCACAAGTTGGCTCCTTAATTCAAAAGGAGGATAGAGCCGAGACCGGTTTGGCTCAGTGGATAGAGCGTCGGCCTGCAGATTCAATGGTTCCGGGTTCGATTCTGGTTGGGGGCATGTGCCTTGGTTGCAGGTGTATCCCCAGTGGGGGGTGTCCGGAGGCGGCTGATTGATGTTTCTCTCTCATCGAGGTTTCTGGCTCTCTATCCCTCTCCCTTCCTCTCTGTAAAAAATCAATAAAAAAATATATTTTTTAAAAAAATAGGATAGAAAAGTTAGGGGAGAGTGTGCCGCGCTAGCACAGCCAAGGGTTCGGCGAGCCTGAGGGAGGGCTGGCGAAGGATGAAGAAAAGACTGAGAAAAAGCTGGGTCTAGGTGGCTCTCCTGTGCCTGGCTGAGGCCACAGAAGAGATCCAGAGGGCAAGCTGATCTTTTTTATTTTATAGCCAGAGGTAACGAGGGAGTGGTCACCATAGTTACAATGTTCTTGTGAGTTTCACTTGTTTTGGCAGCACTTGCTGCACCTCCCACAGCCCATTAGCTACCCAGGAAGGATCTAGGGGGCATCATAAGATCAAGTTTCATTATGCTAAGAAGTCTGTGCCCTCTAAGCTGGGACTTGTTTTCGGCTTTGCCAGCAGGTCAGTCGGATAGCAGCTCCCTACAGGAGAGCGGGGATGAGAGGTGTTCTCTGGGGGAGGGGCTGCTGGGCTGAGCCCGCCCTTAGCGAAGCGGGGAGGGCGGTGCCGTGGGTAAGCCCGAGGCTGCTGACAGGAGCAGGGCACCCACTAGGCATCTTGAAAGATGAAACAGAGAGGGCCGGAGACCGGGGTGCCAGGACACAGGCTTTATTGAAGAGAAGAGAACCACTGCCGGCTGCTTCCAGAGAGAGAGAGAGAGAAAGAGAGAGAGAGAGAGGGAGAGAGAGAGAGCACGCACGGAAGAGAGCGAGGGCCGGGGTACAAGCACCTTTAAGGGGAGGATAGGGAACGGGGCTTAGGGAACTCAGCACACGCTGATGGGTGGTTTCATGTAAAGCCTATGATAAGGGACCTGGGGACTTAGGAATGGGGGCTTAGGGTATTGGGCAGGTGCTGATTGGTGGTTCAGAGCTCGGGAATGTCTGGCTGAGGCCGGGTTTACATCTGACATCAACTGGAGGAAGGGAGGACCTATCACATCTGAGTCACAGTCCGGGGCCGTGGGCCTGGGCTCCGGCAGAGGGAGGATGTGTGTGTGTGTGTGTGCACGTGTGTGTTTGTGCGTGTGTGTGTGCATGTGTGTGTGTGTGTGTGTGTGTGTGTGTGTGTGTGTGTACTGGTGGGAGCGCTTCTCCTGAGTGCAGGGAGGGCGTGGTCCGTGGTGCCTGCAGAGCTCAGTGGCTGCCGCGGCAGGAGGAAAGCCTAGAATGCTGACCCACATCCCCCTCACCTTTCTGCAGCTCATCACGTGTTTAATCTGATGGATGAGGCTTTCTGTAACAGCAGCGTCTCCCTTCTCCTCGGCTGCTGCTTGGGTTTGGGGGCAGGCCAGCAGGAGGTGGAAATGCTATTGGGTAACGAGAAGGAATGAACAGACTGGTGACATGTGCAAGGTGAATGAATCTAAATAATAAGCATGTCTGTGTCCTTACCTGCTTTCATCAGGGCTGTGGGCAGGAGGAAGATGAAGGAAGCAGTTGGTCAGGGTTCTTGTGCCCACCAACGGGAGTGAATCAGCTGTAGTGAGTTAGCAGTTGCTTGTTAAGAAATAACAATTTGAGCTGAAACCGGTTTGGCTCAGTGGATAGAGCGTCGGCCTGCAGACTGAAAGGTCCCAGGTTCGATTCCGGTCAAGGGCATGTACTTTGGTTGCGGGCACATCCCCAGTAGGTGGTGTGCAAGAGGCAGCTGATCCATGTTTCTCTCTCATTAATGTTTCTAACTCTCTATCCCTCTCTCTTCCTCTCTGTAAAAATGTCAATAATTTTTTTTTTTAAAGAAAGAAATAACAATTTGACAGCAACACAGAGGCGAAGGCTTCAAGGAGGGAGTGGGCACCAGAAGCTTGTGGCCGGCGTTGGCCAGGAGTCTGCCCACACCGGATCCTGAGGCACAAAGGGCCTCTGCCACACACCGGAATTTGCCCAAGTGTGGGCTGCCCTCTAGCGGGAGGGGCTCCAGGGATGAAGCTTACCCCGCGCCAGACAGAGCGGGCTTTCTGCACCCCGGACTCATCAGGCGCCGGCCTGGGGGTGAGCCTGGGGCGCAGAGGAGCAGACACCAGCCCCGGAGTCAGAGCGGCCTCTGCCTGCAGTCCCACCGGCCAGTGGCCAGGCGCGGGTGTGTGTGTATGCGCGAGTGTGCGTGTGCATGTGTTATCTCCTTTCCGGGCCTCAGCTTCCCGTTTGTAAAGTGGGGGCGTTGATACCAACCTCAGCTCTTAGGCTGCTGTGAATGGCAACGGCAGATCACAGGCCCTGGCTGGGCGGCTCAGTCAGCCGGAACATCGTCCGGTTCACCAAAGGTTGCGGGTTCGATCCCCAATCAGGGCACTAGATTGCAGGAGGCAGCCAAACTCTCTCTGTCTCTTTCCCTCTCCCTTCCTTTCTAAAAAAACAAAAAGTAGCACAGCATAGGAAAACACCTTTCTCACGGTGCCAGGCATCTGACTTCTCAGGAATGCTGGCTCTCGTCTGGCTGTGTGCGCCAGCATCAGTGCCGAGGCAGACAGCAACGTAAAATCAGACTCTTGGTGGAAAAGGAGAACAGTGCAGCCGTTTGGACAACAGTTTGGCAGTTCCTCAGAATGTCACACAGATGGACCACGGGACCTCTGACCCCACTCCTGGGTGTAGCCGGAAGAGCTGAAGGCAGGGGTGCCCACAGGACGTGGCGTGAGAATCTCACCGCGGCCGCTTGCACCGAGCCCGGAGGGAAACCACCCATGTCCGCCCGCGGATGGGGATAAAGAAATGCTCTCCTGGTTCGTCTCAGTTTCGGTTCTTACGAGGGTATTTCTTGGATCACAGGATCTCACACATCTAGAGGAAATAATGAACAACATAAACTAATGAACAAAAACAGACCCAGAGAAAGAGAAGCAGCGATCAGACTTTCAAACCTCAGAGGGAAAGTAGGGGAGGGTGGGATAAGGGGAAGATATAAACTAAAGGACTTTATATGCATGCATATGGGCCTAGCCAGTGGCCATGGACAACAGAGGGTGGGGGCATATGGAGGGAGGGGTTTGGGATGGGAATGGGGGGATGAGGACAATCATGTGAGACCATGATCAATAAAAATTAAAACAAACAACAAAAAAACCCGCTCTCTCCCAGCCGTGTGGCCCGTGGTTGAGCATCTCCCTATAAACCAGGAGGGGGGGTGCAGACAGACCCCAAGGGGGAAGACCCCGAATGTGGTCCAGACCCTTCCCCCGCTCCCCGGAATGACCCATCATCACAAAGTGAATGGAGAACAGTTTCGCTGCCCTGTCCGAGCCCGGCTCCCGGACACCGGGGTTAATGATTGACGTGGCCGGGAGCCAGCCAGTGAGGCGGCCTCCAGACCCTGGCCCCAGAGCCAGAGCCAGCCCCGCACAGTCTTCCTGGAGGCCAGTCAGAGGCTGAGTGGGGAGGCCAGGCTGAGGCCACCCTGCACATTGGAGGCTTCTGTGGTGACAGGTGAGAGGACGCGGGAGGAAGGACAGGGCTCTGAGGGTGGCCTGCAGCCCCGGGCCCTCCTCTGGCTCTCAAGGAGGCAGGGCCAGGCTGGGCGTTGGGCTCTTCAGCCACCTCTGCAGCCTGAACCTTTGCAGTCGAGGAGGAAGGAGCCTTTGCTGAGACTGTGCTGGGGAACACAGGCTTCCTGCAAAGTGCGGGCTCTGGCAGAGGCACCGAAGGGTAAGGGGCGCCTGCTCTGGCTGCTGCACAGTGGCACCGAGGTAGCAAGGGGCTGAGAGGAGAGGCAGGAAGAGGAGAAGTGGAGGAGGGGTGGTACTTTATATACCAGAGCTTTGTATCCATTGTTTTATCAAATTCTCAGAACAACCTCAGAAGGCAGATTGATTTTACGCTGCTGTACAGAGGAAGAGGCCCAGAGAGGTTAAGCAACATGCTCAAGGTCACACAGCTACGAAGGAATGGAGCCAGGCCAAATGCAGGCCTTCCTGACCTCACACCTGCTCCCTGCAGCTGTGTCCTACATCCTGGGCAGCAGAAGGAAAGGCCTTGAGCAGGGGATCCACCAGGAGGTGGGAGACAGGGGGTTCGACGTGGCTTCCTCTCTCGTTCCCAGGGCTGCCTGGCTCTCTCTGCTGGACTTCGAGGCTCAGACCCACAAGCCTCCCATGGCGCCTTTTCACATCCGCAAGTACCAGGAGAGCGACCGCCCACGTGTCCTGGACCTGTTTTCCAAGGGCGCAGCCGAGCATGCGCCCATCACCTTCCGCCACCTCCTGAGGCTGCCACAGGCTCTTGTGCCCTTGCTTGGGGGGCCCCTGGCCCTGCTTCTGGTCTCTGGATCCTGGCTTCTGGCCCTGGTGGCCGGCCTCGCCCTCCTGGCCGCCCTGAGGGTCCTGGCCAAATACCCCTGGAGCCAGTATGTGTCCAACTGTTTGCGCACAGACATGTGTGACATCAGCAAAACCTACCTGAGCGCGCCGGGCTCCTGCTTCTGGGTGGCCGAGTGTGAGGGGCAGGTGGTGGGCACGGTGGCAGCTCTGCCCGTTGGGGGGCCCGGCCTGCGGAAGGAACAGCTGGAGCTATTCCGCTTGAGCGTGTCCTGGGAGCACCGGGGCCAGGGGATCGCCAGAGCCCTGGTCAGGACTGTCCTGCAGTTTGCGCGGGACCAGGGCTGCAGCGAGGTGGTCCTCAGCACCAGCATGCTGCAGTACTCCGCCCTGGCCCTCTACCAGAGCATGGGCTTCCGCAAGACCGGCCAGCACTTCCCCGCCATGATTAACAGGATAACTGCTATTCACATAGTTCATTTAACCTACCTGCTCCCCTCGGCTCAGGACTCTGAGGCGCCAGGGCAGTGACAGTGTCCTTGTGAATTAGTCAGGGTAGCACAGGCTCTGCCGCAGTAGCAAGCTCACCCCGAGTCCCACTGTGGCAGCTCAGTAAAGCTTCTGTTTGTTCACATCGAGCCCCACGGGGATGGTGGTGGTTCTGCTTCATTTAGTCTTCTTCAGATGCCACCGTTTTCATGTAACTAGTGATGAAAGACTATTCATAAAATCAATCACAAAAGAATAATAAACACTTGCTTTGCTGGATTGTGTGAGTCAGCATTGCAGATGGGGCCTGGCTGGGCAGCTCTTTGGTCTCGGCTCCGTCCACACGTCCTGGGTGGCTGGTTCTCGTGCCGTGGGGTTGGCTGAGTGATGTGCCTGGGCTTCCTCAGGTGCCCGCAGGCTCGCTCGGGCATGGCTTCAGGGTAACTGAATGAGCCCAAGGGAAGCAGAAACAAGCAAATGCTTTTCAAGCCTCTTCAGGTCTCACCTACCAACATCCAGGCTCAGCAGGAAGGAAGGACCCGCCTCTGCAGCTGCAGAGGCTCCTGGCAGAGGGCCTTGCAGGGGAAGGGGGGGGTCCAGGTGAGAAGGTGGGTGCAGGGGCCATTGGTCTGCTCTGGGCCCATTGCTCTGCTGAGGGTCTGAGAAGGGAGCCAGCCACAGAGAGTGGGATGTTAACCTCCAGGCAAGACCTGCAAGTCCTGGGACCCTGGTCGCACTGGCTGGGAGTTGGTGTCCGGGGAGAGAAATGGGGCTGGCAGGTTCCTGGGATCGGCCACACCTGGGGCCCTGTCTTTGTCCCCAAATGCCTGGAGACTCCAGGTTCTTACAGGTACCTTCAACTTAACTGCTTCCTCTGGATAGACTGTCTGATCGATTGTGAGGTGGGGCTGGGGCCCAGGGCTGTGTGTGCAGCCCCTGCACCCTTCCCCGCTGGCACATCTCCGGCACCTCTGCCCCACAGATGTTCTGTTGCTCGTGACTATGGTCCTCTCATCCAGTGTGCCCCTCACCGTGTCCCAGCTTCAGTGTGTAATGGCAGGGACTGGGTCCATCCTCTGTGACGGGCAGGAAGCCACAGGGACCTGCTCCCCTCAGCTGTCTGGGCCCAGTAGGGGGCCCCGCAGGCAGAGTTCCCGCATGGTCACCTGGTGCTGGAGGCCAGGGGTTCATGGGGAATCTGATTATGTGAACGGCTTTTAAAGTAACAACTGAACGGGCTCACTGATTCCAGACAGACAGGGTCCATGCCCTCCAGGGGTTTCCAGACCCAAGGAGCTGAGGAGGGACCCCGGAGGGGCAGGGGCAGATTCGTGGTCATGATGGGGGATGCGGGAATTCCTGACAACCTGGCAGGATGTCAGAAGGGCGCGTAACCCCCTTGTTGGCGAGGGCTTCCCGGAGGGGCCAGGGCTTCTGCTCCCGAAACAGAAAACCAAGGTCGAGCGTGTCCATCACCAGCTCGCGCTGCCCAGCCTCGCCGAGCGGCTCTCGTTCTTCCAGTGAACGAAGCTCTTTCTCTGCGGCCTCGCACCTGCTGTTCCCTCTGGAACGTTCTCCTTCAACCTCGCCTCCACCATCCTCTTTCTCCAGCTGAGTCGTAAGGATAATTGTTGGGATGATAATCTCTGGGCAGGCAATTGTACATGGCGAACGTACTCAATACCACCAGGCTGCACCCTTTCAGATAATGTGTGTGAAATTCGACCTTAAAAAATGGAAGCGTGTAGATCGTGCTAGAACCTCAAAAGAACAGGCAGAAGGTTGAGGAGAGCAGAGAAGAGAGGTGTTCACTGGGGGAGGGGCTGCCGGGCTGAGCCCACCCTCAGCAGAGCAGGGAGGGCGGTGCCGTGTCTAAGCCCAAGCCCGCAGGCAGGAGAGGCCGAGGGCACCTGTGCCTCCTCCTGCCTGGGCATCTGAGTCACAGTCGGGGCCCTGGGCCTGGGCTCCGGCCGGGGGAGGATGCTGGTGTGTGTGTGTGTGTGGTGAACTGGTGCTGTGGGCAGTGGGTCCGCAGGCCCGGGGGGTGCAGGCGGGTGTGAGGCGGGGGACCCAGGGAAGGGAATGGAGGGATGTGCGCAGGGACCCCTCGGGCAGGGGTAGGAGAGGGACTTCTCCAGGAAGGGAGAGTGAGGGCATGGTCCGTGGTGACTCTGAGGGCGGCTGAACGGCAGGAAGAGAAGCTGGGATGCTGAGGCCAGACCCCCTCGCCTCCCTTAGGTCCTAAGTCATTTGTTCGATGTGGAGGCTGAGGTCTTACTCTGAACTTGGTATAAACCTTAGAGCTCAAGGTTTATAAACCTTTGAGGTAACTGGACGTTCTTTTTATCTATTTGCCTCCTGTGACCGGCCTCCGGCTGGCACGCTCACGGTGCATCACCCAGGCAGGGCTGCCGGCTGCGCCCCCTCAGCCTCCCCCTCCCTCCCCCGGGCCTGCCGCCTCCTCTCTGCCTCTGCGTGTGATTATGCTGGTGGCATAGACCTGACTGACCGCCTTAACAGGTGCAGTGCAGGCACGCCAGCTGCTCTCTCAGCGCCGTCTCGCCGGCACCGCTGTCTGCAGCCAGCACTTCCCAGGCCCCGAACCTAAAACTGGACACAGTGAGCTGTCACCCTCTCCGCCGGCGTCCCAGCCCCGCAGCCACCCTCCCTTCCTGCCGCAGCGTCCGCCTGTGCCAGGCGCCCAGGGGGCGGCATGCTCCCGGGCCTCTGTGTCCGCAGGGATCGTCCGTCGTAGCTCGCGTGGGGATTGAAGTCCCCTGTGAGGGGCCGGCGGAGGCTGTGGGGTGTACACAACACACTTCGTCCATTTGCTCACGTGCGAAGGGACACGGAGTTGTTTCCCCCCGTGACAAGCGTTAGTTTTTAAGCCATCCAGGAGGACCGCGGCGAGGTGAAGATGGGGACACGGTTAATTTTTGACAGGGCTCGTCTTGCCGCGGGGCGGGTGTTCATGAAGAACGTTTTGGCGCGGATCGCAGACCTCACGGTCGCCTTCCGGAAAGGGTCAACGTGCCCCTGCTCGGCTTCACACCCCGAGGGTGACAGTGCAGGTTTTGTGAACGATGAGTCTTGATGTCAGAAGTCTATTTTGGGAGCAGCTATGCAGGAAGTGCAGCCTGTGGCCAGGTGGCCGGCAGGACAAAGTGGTAGGACCTCTGGGTTGAGCATCACAGACACTGACACGGGGACGCTGCCCTGTGGGCCCACGCCCGGAGCCAGGGCTAAAGGGCCACACAGCACCTCCCCTCGGGGAGCCTGCACCCAGGGGAGAAGCAGGGACAGGGCCATGTTGGGTTAGGTCGGCAAACTGCAGCTCGCGAGCCACACGTGGCTCTTTGGCCCCTTGAGTGTTTAGCAAAGGCCAGCTCAGGAGGACTCTAATTAAGTTAATAACAACGCACCCACCTATATAGTGTACGTTTAAAACATTTGGCTCCCAGAAGAAATGTCAGTCGTTGTGCTGTTGACATTTGGCTCTGTGCCTGATGAGTGTGCTGACCACCGGGTCAGGGCTCTGCTGCCCGAGCAGCAGCTCAGGGACGCAGGGAAGGGCCCACGGACAGGAGTGGGAACGCCCAGGGCTGCGGGCCTGGGAAACGGGAGGCCAGAGCGCCCTGCAGGGGAGCCGGGAGGGGGCCCCGCGGCTGCCAGAAGCCTGGCTCAGGGGCGCTGCGCGCGGCGGGAAGGCCCGCTCTGGCCTTGGGGCTCTGGCCACGGGGCATTCTGAGACAGGCGGCCGGGACAGAGGGGTCCGTTGTCTGTTGGGTGCAATATGGGGGTTCCCTTTCCACCGATCACTGAAGACACGAGTGGCTTCTCATTGGAAGCAGCAGGAGCAGCTGGTGCCTGGATGATGTTTGTAACCTGGAGACCTTTGGACCTGAACTGCCGGGTGAGACAGACGGGAGGGTGAGCAGGACACCAGCCCCCACGCACACGCACACGCACACGCACACGCACACCTGCTCTCCACCTGCTCTCCCAGGCAGCATGACCTTTTGTGACCTTTACTTTCTCTCACACCTCCCGCTCTTATTTCAATCCTCTCTGGAGGATGATTTTTAAAAATTGATTTTTAGAGAGAGAGACATTGATGTGAGAAACAAATGTCAGTCAGCTGCCTCCTGTACACGCCCCGATGGGGGCTGGAACCGACAACCCAGGTCTGAGCCCTGAAGGGGAATGGAACCGGCCACCTCTTGGTGCACAGGATGCTCCCACCGACCGCGCTACCTGGCTGGGACCTGGCATCACGCACAGAAACGACCTCCTTCCCCTCTTAAAGGCGTAGTTCACTGTGTCCTCACTGCTGACAGGCTGTGGTTTGCCTTTTGAATTGTTTTAGCCTAACCTACCTTCTCTTAGGCTTCCTGATCCGGCATTTTTATCTTCCCCTTTTTTGTTATCTTCCCTTTTTAAAAAGTTTAATTTATAAACCCTTAGTTACATTATATATTGAAAAATTATTTTGTTACTTAAAAAAGTCACGCACTAAAACTTTTTAGCTGAGAAATTCTTTTATATCAGTTTTAGGTGCACAGCATGGTGGACATTATATAACTTACAAAGTGTCCCCCTGGTATTTCAAAGCACCCACCTGGCACCATACATATTATAGTTATTATAATATTAGTGACTATAGTTCCTATGCTGTACTTTACATCCTTGTGACTATTTTGTAACTACCAATTTGGACCTTTTTTTTGAGGATATCTTTTCCATTGATTTTTTTTTTTTTTGAGTGGGAGGGAGGGGAGGAGAGCACAGGGTGTAGGGAGAGGAGAGAAACGTGGGTCACAGCAACCTCTGCAGGTGGGCTGCTCCCATAGACTCTAGGCCCCTCCCAGCTCCACACCCCAGCTCCCTGCTCTCCCCCTTTCCCACAGGTTCCCCAAGGCTTGGTGTGCAGATGCCAGGGTTGCAGGTTCAAGACGCTCTGCCTCCTCCTGTCACTTTGAGCCATAAGTGCCGGCAGGGACCTTTCTGCTCGGTCTTGGTCTTTGGTCACTGCTGAGGTTTTCTGGACTCTCTAGGCCAGGGACAGCCAGGACCTTTGCCCCTAACCAACACATGCCTGCAGCCTGCCTGGGGTACCCTCAGCCCTGGGAAAGTGTCAGGTGGGCCAGCCTGGGCTGTGTTTGTGTGTGGGGGTTTGGCTACCCGCCCCACCCTCAATTGGGGTGGGAGACTGACCAGGGGTGGGGCCCGGCAGCCATCTTGTGATGGCATGAGGATCAATTTGCATATTGCTTCTTAACTATATAGGATATGTATACCTATTTTAAAGGGTCTGAGTTCTATGCATTTGTGGTGGTAAAGAGTAGCCCTTACACTTCCCCTTGTGCACTCACTTCCACCTCTTTAGTGGGCTCCTGTGGTTCCTTTTTTTTTTTTTTTTTTTTAAATATTTTATGAGGGAGAGAGGGATAGAGTTAGAAACATTGATGAGAAACACCGATCAGCTGCCTCCTGCACACCCCCTACTGGGGATGTGTCTGCAACCCAAGGTACATGCCCGTGTCCAGAATCGAACCCGGGACCCCAGTCCAAAAGCCGATGCTCTATCCACTGAGCCAAACCGGTTTTGGCATGTGTCGCCTTCTTGATGGTCCGGTTTTGCCACCAGGAGGTCGATGCCATGTCTCCACCATGCATATGCACCCTTCCTGTTCCCCAGGTTCTCAAAGGGGTTAGGTCACTGTTTGGGGTACATCAATATTCTGTGTTTAAGCTAAGCTACATAGCAAAACATCATCCTCTTACATATTTTTGTTTTGACTTCTTTTTCCTGGAACTTTTAATGATCTTTTACTGGTTGTTTACTTTTCTATTTAACACTACTCAATCTCAAACTCTATCAGATGTTTCTATAACACTCAGGTGCTTCATGTAACCGACCAATTAGATCCCCCTGAAGTCTTTCCCACAGCCTTTGCCTGCAATCTGGACTGACCACTGTGTGCCAGTCGACAAATCCATAGTTAACCTGTGGCCACACTGTGTGCAAGGCCCCAGCAAAAGAAAGTGAACAAGAACCATAATTCGTGCCCGACGGAGCTTACTATCTAGGTGGAGATTCAGGAAACCTTTGGTTCCTAGCTATTTTCTGGGGTCTGGAACTGACACCTGTTTTTCGTTAAGATGGCACCAGGTGTGTCTCCTGAGGGCTGCTTCCTAGTCACCCTCCTGGCCACGCCGACAGCGGGAACTATGTGAACAGTTTCCCACTTTTCCTCAGCTGGGCCCAGCTTGTGAAATGAAGTTAGTCTCGGCAGGTTTTTGAGGCCAGCCCATGTGCCCCATGGTTACTTGCAGTTTTGGGCTTAGGTTCTGATGTCAGGCTGTCCTGTGTGGGGAGCAATGATGAGGCTGGGTGAACACTGTGCAGAGAATGGGTCAGGGATTCTAGAAATGTGTGGATCTGGCCGTGCCTCTTTGAGGACATGCCGGACCCAAACCCCGGCAGAAGTCTAGAAAGCTGGGACGACCTCTGAAGGGCCCTATTTTCTCCAAGTCCAGAACAGAGCCTCAGATTTACCTGGGCAACAAGACCATCCAGAGCAGTGGTCGGCAAGCTCCTTAGTCAACAGAGCCAAATATCAACAGTACGACTGACATTTCTTTGCCAAGTTTTTAAAACTTAAGCTATATAGGTAGGTGCATTGTTATTAACTTAATTAGGGTCCTCCTAAGCTGGCCTTTGCTAAACACTCAAGGGGCCAAAGAGCCATAATTAGCCGACCACTGACCCAGAGTAATGGTACCTGCAACAGAAGAAACAAAGAGAACAAAGAGGAAAAAAAGAGATAATTTACTTAAAGTCTAAGGATGGGTTGGCTTGAGTTGCCTGGTGCTTTGGGGCCAACTACAGCAAGCAGATAGAAATAGATGTAGACCAAGAAAATGAACAGCCCACATCTATGCATCTTGTGACTGCAATCCCCTTAACATGTAGCCCAATCAGACTTGGAAAACAACCCAGCGTTGGGGGAAGTGAGTTTCCATAGATCAGGATCTTCTCCTTGGGGAGTTGTGGGGGCGGGAAAGCTGTGAGATGACCCAAGAGTGCCCCCTAAAGGCCAATAGTTAGTGTTGCTATGACTCAGCCCAGACCTCCACCCAACCAGAATTGAGTATTTAGTGAGAAACTGGGAAAGGGCTTTAAGCAAGGGTTTACAGCCAGTCAAAATAAAACAAACATTATAAGTTAAAATCACCCAGCTCCAAAACAGGTAAAGATGAAGACATCGATGATTCAGCTTGGCCTAGCTTTCTTTTTTTTTTCTTCTGTTTTTATTGGTTTCAAAGAGGAAGGGAGAGGAAGAGAGAAACATTGAAGAGAATCATTAACTGGCTGCCTCTTGCTAGATCCCCAGCTGGGAATCGAATTGTGATCTCCCAGGTCCACATTCAACCAGTGAGCCACCATGGCCGGGGTTGGCCTAGCTCTCTAACTACTGGCTAGCACAATCATTTGGGACACACAATGCTGTGACTTAATAGTTAAAACACCGCCTTCTCCATACACTCCCTCAGCCACAGAGCATGTGCTGGTGGTCACGGAGGCCTCTGTCTGGGGTGAGTGGACAGAGACAGAAGCTGTCCTCGGGGAAGAGTGGCCAAGGAGGCTGGAGCTGAACCTCCTAGAAAAAAAGAGGGCAGAATTCTCGGATTAGGTGTGAACTAGATCTAGGAAGGAGAAATTAAGAGTAAATCCCCAAGATCAGAACCAGGCCCAGGGCCCGGCCTGCTTCATCTGTGCAAGAACAAAAGAACAAAGCCCCCGGTGGAGATGGTGGAGCAGGGCAGAGCAGCCCCATGGCAGAGGAGGGACAGCAGAGGTGGCGACTTTGAAGCTTCTGCCAGGTGCTCAGCGAACCAATGTGGGCAGAGTGGGGAAACTATGCTGAGCTCTGGGGGCACCCTAAGGTACATTCTGGCTGGGCTAGGAGGAGGAGCAGGCTGCCACCTGGGGCTTCCCAGACCCTGACCCACTGATAAATGTTCTGGGAAGGTGCCAGGCGGACACTGCCAGGCGTAGAGAATCAACTCATCGTCCAAGAGGACTCCGTCCTGCCTGTGTCCTTGCAGACCCAAGTTTCCGGACAATGACACTTTCTGTCTGTATTCTAGTAACTTCCCACATGTAAACAGCCACAGCATCTGACAGCCAAAAGGGGCACTCACACATTAATGCTCCACTTTTACAGGTAAACCGGCCCAGAGTGATTACCGCACAGCATGGCAGGGAAGAGTAGGCAGTTCCCACACACGCACCGTCGGAGGCTCCTTCACAGCCACCTGCGAGGCTAGGAGGTCGGGTGGCAGCACGTGGCGGCTCTGAGCAGTGCTGGGAGGCAGGGCCTGCTCTTTGCCTCTGCCTCTCAGGAAGCAGCTGGCCCCTATGGCCCCGCTGGGCTTCGCTGAACTTATAACAGAATAAGGCTGCTGAGCACCTTCCCTGGCTCCACTTTGGGCCTTGGCTTTAATTCCAGGTCACAAGATTAAGTGCTTTATGTGCATTATCATATATATATACACTCCCCTCCTCCCATTATCACATACATTAAATCCTCTTTTCAGAAGTGGTTTTCCAGATTATAAACACTGGTTCCATGTAAGACGGTAAATGCTCTTAGGCTTTAATCCTGCAAACAAGGGGTTGGGTAAAGGAAAATTCCCCAAAGGTTAGTGGCCTTCCTTCCCGGCCTACAGCTCCCAGGGCAGCTGGGATGAGACTAAGGGGAGTTCTAGACCTGAGAAGCCTGTCTGCTGGGAGTCGGCGTGCGCGGTGGTACGGACACCCTCTCCGCAGAGGCCATGACAGGCTCTTGGCCTGTCCCCTGTGCTTCCAGAGAAAGGCCCATTTCCCGTACGGACCGTTTTAGACTGCAGCTCCCCATGCACTCAGGGGAGACATGGCTCAGCTCCAGATGGGAAAGAAATGACCCTCTGTGGCTTGTTTTATGCGGAGTCAAGAATATTTTTAAAAAAGTAATTTATTTTCTAAAAGTTTAAAAACACAAACCAAAGGGACTATTATCTAGATAAGAAATAATAATGTTATAAAGCACCCCTGTGGGCCAGGCCACTGTAAAGAAAGTACTGCTCCCAAACCATTAACAGCCTTACCACTCTGCCCCGCACTCTTTAGAAGGTTACTACTTCGAAATTACACATGGACAGAGAGTTTGTTTATTGAACCAGACTCAAAAAGTAAGGGTTATGCTTCTTCAGGTTGATAAAATAAAATTCCACGGCTCTGAAGAAAATAATCTATCAGTCCCAGGGAACTTTTCTCCCCAAGAGTTGATTGGTCACTTTCTGTGGAAGAAAAGACAGGCAGGAAAGAAGTTAGCAACCTTGCGACCAGGCAGATGGGCACCCCTTCCCTTGGACATGGCACTGAAGACGGGTGGGGTTCTGACCAAACCTTGTTTACCTTCCCCAGTGACAGAAACTATGGTAACTATACAAAAAATACTTCCTGGAGTGTTTAGGAAAGATCATCTATAATCAGTAGCTATTATTTCTGTGCAGATGCAGACACTCTAGAATCCTGATAGACTGATCCTCCCATCAGTTCGCAAACACACAAGCCCAGGGAGAGCCTGGTGCAGGGCTGGGGCCTCCGCCCTTGAGCAGGCCCGGCCCGAACTCTGGGATGTGCTCCAGAAGCCTTCGGTCTGGGATGAATGCGTCTTTTGTTTTCTGACTTTCAGCGTGCTCGTGGGAAGGAAACCAGGACAGTGAAGGATGTGGCCCATTTCATTTCTCAAGGAATAAATTGCTTGCAAGTGCCCTTGCCTGGGAGGTTCTGGGACCCACAGCACCACTGATTCCACGGGAGCGATGGGCAGGACATGGTGCCAGCGTCCAGGCTCTGGCAACTCTTAAGCCACACACACAACTCTCCAGCCTTTAACAAAATTCTAAAGGTGTAACACTACCTCCTGGGACGCTGGAATTCTACTGGACTTGACCATTGCTACCGTAACATACATCTAAACTGACCCCTAAAGATGAAATTTGGTTTCCTTCCCAATGTATGCTTTGAAGGGGCCTTTTTTAGGTTTGGTTTTTTATTTTTAGATTTGAAATCTAGTCATAGGTGTCTTTATCTTCCAATTTCAGCAGTGGTACAGTGCATCAGTGAGATAATTCCAACAGGTCAGGTGTGTTTCACTCAGTTTCTCTTCCTTGATAAACCTGACCAATCCCGCTCTGGGACTGACTGACCTTTTTATACAGCTGGGCTCGCAACCGGTATGACTTATATTCCAATTTCCTCCTTTCCTCTTCTCTCTTTTTCTTTACTTCTGGAAGCTGCTCATAAATCCTTAGGAAAGACAGAAAGCAGTGAGGTTACCAGGCCACAGAGGCACATGATGTCTTCTCACTGATTAAATATCAGTAAAGCTGGGAAAAAAGGACTATTGTTAAAGGAGAGATAACAAAGGCCACTGAAAAAGAACATGTGGTATGAAGGGAAATTCTGCTTTGACCAGGAAAGGCTGTATTCCAAGGCTGGAAATCTAGGACCAGACTAATCAGGGTAGTCAGAAATTACATTGTGTGAATGGTTTCTTGAGAGCAATTATTACATACTAGTGGCTTTGTGCATGAAATTCGTGTGTGTGTGTGTGTGTGTGTGTGTGTGTGTGTGTACGTGTGTGTGGGGTCCCCTCAGTTCAGCCTGTACCCTCTCCAATCTGGGACCCCTTGAAGGATGTCCTACTGCCCATTTACAGGGAACGGGCCTAAACCAGCATTCGGACATCCCTCTCACAATCCAGGACTGCTGGCTCCTAACTGCTCACCTTCCTGCTCCTAACTACTCTGCCTGCCAGTGTGCTTGCCCCCAACTGTAACCTCCCCCCTCGCTCTATACTGCCCTTCTGCTGGCCTGCTTGCTCCCAGCTTCCCTCCCCACTGGTCTGCTTGCCCCCAACTTTCCCCCCTCTGGCCTGCTCACTCCAAACTGTCCTCCACCCCCCCCCCCCCCCCCGCTGTCCTGATCACCCCTAACTGACCCCCCACTGATAGCCTCCTCACCCCCAACTGCCCCCTTCCCCCACTGGCCTGATCACCAACAACTGTCCTTCCTTCTTGGCCTCTAACCACCTCTACCTCGGTCCTGCCACCATAGCTTTGTCCAGAAGAACACCTGGAAGGTCTCCCAGTCTAATTAGCATATTACCCTTTTATTGGTATAGATAGAGGCCTGGTGCACGAGTGGGGGCTGGCTGGTTTGCCCTGAAGGGTGTCCTGAATCAGTGTGGGGGTACTCAGTGCACTTCTACAACTGCCTGTATTTATGTTCCGAAGCACTGACACCTTATAGAAGATGCTTCTATGGTATTCCATTAGGCCAGCTTCACAGTCCATTACAGAGGGGCTCCTCTCACTGAGGCGAGTGTAATTAGCTGCCACACAATGAGCACTGTAATTTCCCCTAATTAAATTTCGTGACAGAATAAAGCAATGGTTTTCAAATTTTTTGGACAAGGACCCCTTTATATTCTTAAAGCTTGAGGCCAATTTTGGTCAATGTGAATTTTATCTATTGAGATCTAATGTATAAGAAATTAAAACTAAACATTTTTAAAGTATTTAATTTTGATCCTCACCTGAGCATATTTTTCCATTGATTTTTAGAGAGTGGAAGACAGTGGAAGACAGAGGGAAAGACAGAAATATCGATGTGAGAGAAACACATTAATTGGTTGCCTCCTGCACAAGCCCCGACCAGGACCCAGTCCAGGGAGGAGCCTGTAATCAAGGTACGTGCCCTTGACCAGAAAGGAACCTGGGACTCCTTAGGCTGACACTCTATCCACTGAGTCAAACCAGCTAGGGCAAAAATACTTATTTCTTAATTCACTTAAAAATAAAAATAATAAACTTGTTGCATGCTAACACATGCTTCCCAAAACTAAAATATTTAGTAAGAGTGATACTATTTTACATATTTTGTAAATCTATATTTTATAAATATTTAATGTCTAATTTAATAAAAGACAGCTAGATTTTTATATCTGCTTCTGTATTACATTTGTTGTAATATACCAGTCTAGTTAAAAGATACATTTTAAAAAATCCAGTTGGACAAGGGAGAAGTATTTTAATATTCTTTTCAGATAATTGCTGATTTTCTTGATATGTACCAAAACTTGACAAGTGCTAGTTTCTTAAAAAGTAGTTGCAATGTAGAATCTAAACCCATTATCAATGAGCTTTTGTACGCTCATATAAACAGAGGTCACCAGTCTATCTTGCACTTTGAATGTATCGTCTATCCATGCCTGATTTTGTAACATAATGCCAGTCACTGGGAGAATACTGGCCCAGTGACTTATGCAGATCTTCTAAATGCTGACATATTTACTTATATAACAACAACGTACTTGTTAATATCATTGCTGACAACATCAGAAAAGTCTCAGTACTGGGAGGTAGTCAACCATATAGTGGTAGACCAAGTTTTCTAGAATTTGATTTTTTGCTTGAAAGCTCAAATTTTCTCTTTGGCAGTAAATACTGTCAGCTGTTTTACTTGAAGTGACAGACTCACTTCTTCATTTTCAAGAAAAAGTCTGTCACAGGCTCAGGTCGGAATAATCAGCTTATCTACCATTTTTTCAAGTAAAGGCTGAGTTCTACTTCAGCTCGCTCCACAAACCTTGGTGTAAGTGCCCTTCCTTGAACCAGCCTCGGTCTTGCATGCAGCAAGTGCTCTGCATGGACTTCCCTTACACTGCTGGCAAGTGGCTGCAAAGAATACAGTTTCCTGCCCTGGCTAGTTTTGCTCAGAGGTTAGAGCGTCTGCTGGCACCTACCCTGGTTCCAGGCTCGATCTTGATTCCTGACCCTGCTCAGGGCAAGTGCAGTAGGAAACTAATTGATGTGATTCACATCGATATTTCTCTCTCTCCACCCCCCTATTTCCCTTCTACTCTCTCTACCGATATCAACTGAAAAAATATCCTTGGATGAGGATAAAAAAAGAAAGAAAGGAAGGAAGGAAGAAGGAAAGAATGAATGAATGAAAGAAAAGAATACAAAACCTTTTAGACCAGCAGGCTCAAACAGTGTTAAGGTACCAGCAATTTTATTCCTTCCCTATTACTTTTGCATCATCAGTACAAATGTCAACACACTGAAAAAGCAATGACATTCTAGTATAATTTTGAGATTCATTTTGACCTGGCAAATCCCCTGAAAGGGTCTCAGAACTTCCAGAGGTCTACAACCACACTTGAAGAACTCCGTGATTAAAGCCTGCCTTTGAAGTACATATAAGGAAAGGGTTTACTAAATGGAGAGCAAAAACATAATTTCAGGAGGAATGCTTTAAGCATCTAAGGTAAACTGTTTTTCAAGATCCTGCTGGCTAGAAAACGGTTCTTATTTAAGGAGGTAGCTAATGAACCCCTAAATGGTAACTCTTAATTCAGTTATTCCATGGCATTCTCATGATCAATATATGCATATCTCTAATGAATGCTAATGCACACAATGGCACAAAATTAAAAAAATATATAAAGGCAAAAAATTAGTCTTTCTCCTACCCACTCAGTTTTTGTTTGTTTTTTGCCAAAGGCAATCACTATTATCAGTTTTTTTGTGTATCCTTCCAGAAATATACTATGCATATAAAATGTCTGCCTTTATAGAAGCACAAATACTTATTTTTAAAGACTATAAATAGTGGCAGTGTTCACGTGCTTCTGAAACCTGACTTTTTCTCAAGCTTAATTTAATGTGTATTGGACCATACTCCATTATTTCTCACTGTATTGAAGAGATTTCTAGAAACAGGATAGCCTAGATAAAAAGTAAGGCCCCAAATAAATATTCATTTCTAAATACTCTAAATTTAGGTTTCTAATAAGGATGGGCTTCTCTAAGGCATGCAAATTAGTGGGAATTCTTTCTATCTTTGATAGATGAATCATCCATACCATCATCTGCTACCTATTCTTCTCTTTTTTAATGTCATACATGAGAAATTCACAACTAATTTTTTATGTTTTAACTTGAGCAGAATGGCAAGCCAGAGCTCTTGAGTACTTGCTGGCCTGATCTGTACTTTTCTTTTCCTTTCTTTCTTCTTCTTCTTCTTCTTTTTTTTTTTTTTTTAATTTTTTTATTAAGGTATCACATATTTGTCCTCATCTCCCCATTCCCATCCCCCACCGCTCCCCACTCATGGCCCCACCCCCCTATTGTCCCGGACCACTGATTAGGCTCATATGTATGCACACAGTCCTTTGGTACTTTTCTAATTAATCTTATTTTTTTGGCCTTACCGTTTAGACCTCTGAATCATTTCCTTCTTTCCAACAGGCCTATACTTCTGGACAGCCAGGAAACCTAAGCAAGAGAAAAAGAGGTTTACAGTGAATAGTGACATAACAAGAAAGGGTGTGGTTTGCAAGAGCTGTGTGACAGAGTTGCTAGGACTTTTAGGTCCTACTGTGAGCTGACAGTGCGAGGTGGTCACCAATGACAAAGGCCAAGGCCAGGGTTAAACCATGTGACTGTGACAGCAGCCTATGTCTCCTGAAGGCAGAACACTGTGGCACAGACTAGACCATGAACTGATACACTGCCCCATTTACAGATAATGTGATGAAAGTGTTAGGTACTTTATAGTTTTCACAGGTTTCAAATATTACTTTATTGATTTTACACCTGAGCATAACTGTGAAGAGCGATGATTCTGGAGCCAGCCCACCTGGGTTCAAATCTCAGCTTAGTAAGTACGTAATCTCTTAGCCTTTGTTTTCTCATCTCTAAAACAGGGATATTAATAGGATCCAACTCAGGAAATATTGTATTAAACGCCAACACTGTCTGAGTAAAACATAAGGGCTACATAATGATTACTTATTATTTTTAAATATATTTTTATTGATTTCAGAGGGGAAAGGAGAGGGAGAGAGAGAAAAACATCAATGATGAAAGCGAGTTACTGATCAAGCTGCCTTTTGCATGCCCCACACTGGAGATCAAGCCTGCAACCTGGGCATGTGTCCTGACTATGAATTCAACTGTGATCTCCTGGTTCATAGGTCGACGCTCAACCACTGAGCAAAGCTTGCCAGGCCATAACTATTATTTTAATTACTAACACTACTATTCTATTATTATTATTATTATTATTATTATTGCCACCCTATGAAGTATAAAAGCCTGAAATCAGTCCCCTCTTTAATGAAAGAAATGAACAAACATAATACTACTTTTGGAACTAACTTGCTCATAGACACAGAGATTGTTTATAAAAACACCTTCTTACTGTACACTATCGTTTTTAAGATGCAGTCATAGGGCAAGAGTAACTGGGCTTATTTGGATCATTCAAAATACTGAGAGCTAAACTGGGTGGGTTTTGTGACCTCAGGAGATGTCTTAGCAAGCAAAGAAGTCTCTCTGTCCATGTAACTGGCCTGGCATTGAGCAGTGCTCCCCACAGCAAGAAGCAGACCTTAGAAAAAAAGAGAACAAAAGCAGATCTTGACCTCTGTACCCAGGAAAGTGCAGTCTGTACCTCTCTTAGGGAGCGGGTGCACGGAGTCCCCCTGGCCCTGCCATTCTTGCCCAGTGTTGAACAGCACCTCCCGCTCATTCTGTAACACGTTCTGTAGCTTCCTCTCCTGGACTATTAACTTCAGGCGTTTTATCCGCTCCCCAGAGCGGGAGATGAAGTCAGGTCTGTGAAACAGAAGTGATTCCTGAGGAGAAAAAGCCCCATTCTTATATTAATGATGCAATTTGCTCTCTAAGGGCCTAGAAAAGCAGGATCTGACCAACGGATTTAAAGAGTCTGTTTCTAAAGGTATTTTCTATTCTATTCTTGCAAACTAGAGGCCCGGTGCACAAGATTTGTGAACCGGAGGGGAGCCCCCTCAGCCTGGCCCATGCCCTCTCTCAGTCCGGAGCCCGCAGGGAATGTCCAACTGATGGCTTAGGTGCGTTCCCAAGCAGTCAGTCGGACAACCTCAGTGCTGGCACGGAGGTGGGAGAGGCTCCCCCCACCACTGTGCTTGCCAGCCACAAGCTAGCTTCTGGCTGGGTGGTGTTCCTCCTGTGGGAGTGCGCTGACCACCAGGGGGCAGCTCCTGTGTGGAATGTCTGCTTCCTGGTGGTCAGTGCAAATCATAGCGACCAGTTGTTCTGCCATTAGGTCGATTTGCATATTACCCTTTTATTATATAGGAGGATTAGAGGCCCGTGCACAAACTTGTGCACCAATCAGGTCCCTTGGCCTGGCCTGTGGGAATGAGCTGAACCAGCTCTCTGACATCATCCAAAGGGTTCTGGATTGTGAGAGGGTGCAGGCCAGGGTGCACCCCACTGCTGTATGATCGGAGTTGGGGAGGGACATGGGAGGTTGGCCAGCTGGGGAGAAACCATAGGAGGGCTCCAGGGCATGTCCAGCCCATCTTTCTCAGTCCCAATGGGCTGGACCCCAGCAGCAAACTAACATACCAGTTGGAGCATCTGCCCACTGGTGATCAGTACACATCATAGTGACTGGTCTACTGGTTGACTGTCTGTCCCTGGTGGCCAGTATAAGTTATACAGAATGATTGAGAGGCCTTAGCATGTCACTAGCATATTATGCTTTGATTGGTTGACACTTAGTATATATTTTAGGCATTTATTATACAGGATAATCTAACAAACTCTCTGTGGGGGAGAGTTCCAGTAGGGAAATCAGAGGGATCAAAGAAATGCCTTAGGAATAAGCCAAGAGCTAAGATGTGGCAAATATAACTCTCCCAGATAGGATGGAGGTTGGCCCATTGTACTATATTAAATTTCCCTTCAAATACAGGGTGGGGCAAAAGTAGGTTTACAGTTGTCAGTACATGAAACAGTTTATTTTTGTATTATTTGTTAACAATTGTATTATTTTCCATAGGAACAACTGTAAGCCTACTTTTGCCTCATCCTGTACACCATTAAATAACATTTCCTATAGCTCTCAAAGGATACAGAAAGAGATTTAGTGCCCTTTAAACTTCGTGTTATATAGCAGTAGGCATTCTGGAGGAACAAATATAAAGCTGAGCCAACATGAGGCCTCCAGGCCAACATGTGTCTATAAACCCGATGAGCAGCGTCCCTTCTACTGCCTTGTCCCCAGATGCTGAGGTTGATGCGCGATTTAAAATGGTTTACAGAGTAAGGCAGCCTTCGATTAATAACGACAGTGAGAAAAGATGAACTCTGGAGGTGCTAGAAATGAGGGTCACATGATTGTGCTTCTGCAGGCCACGTCACAGATTCAACTTCTTTGTGCCTCACCCTTTCTCCCCCCTGACACACAAGGCTAACATTAACTCAATGACCCTGTACCTGTAATGTCGCTTTCACTAATGGCTTCAGTGGACTTCTGCCTGGGCTTGCTAGTGACATGTGGCTGGCTGTGTGCTGGCTCTGCCAGTTCTGTTCCCGTAGTGGTTCCCTCCAGGGTTTGGTGTTGGTTATTGGTGCAAACCAGGAGATACCAGGGCCATGATGATTGAGGTTTTCCTTCTTAGGACCAGACTTCACATTTTCCACAGGAACAAACCATGAAACTTCTACAGGAAATATTTTTAAGTAAGAAAGGAGATTTTTGGCATTGTTGTTATTATTTAATAGCGAGAGTTTTGCTCTTGACATTCAAGTTTTGAAAATAACATGTATGTGGTTTAGTTTTTGCATTGGCAAAAACAAAACAAACAAACAAAAAACCCCAAAAAACAAATAAATGACAGCCAACTACTAATGGGAAAAAAAAAAGGAGATTTTGCATATTTCTCAGAGACTTGTGCATAAAATAGGCTCTCAGCAGATTCAGCTGTCAGAGGCCATCATGATGCGCAGGAGCCTGCTTAACTGCAGGAATGATTCTATAAATGTAGTGAGGGGGTGAAGATGGGGTCAACACAGGGTCATTTAGAAAAAATAATCTGAGCATAGCTTTTCTGCTATAAAACCGGGAATTAGAAACGGACCTTCACAGCAACTCTGCTTGTTCTTCCTTAACTTTTTGTCTCCAAGATTTCTGGTAAGGAGCTTTTTTTCTTCTACTTTTTCTTCTGACCAAGAAGTCACATCACTGTCCTCTTCCACTTTAACCTCAGTAAGACTTGGAGTTGGGAAAATCACCCCAACATCTCGAGTATGTTTTTTGACACCGTTCACAATCTCCAAGTTTCCTGAGGGGAAAGATTACTTAGTTAGCAGGTAGTATATTCAAATCAGTAAATGAAAAGTTTTTAAGGCTTCAAAAATGCAGGCTATGGCTTTTGTTGGGTGGGTTGGAGTGTGAAAGGGGGAAGAGAGGAAGGGAGGAAAGGTGGTAGGGGGAGAAAGGGAGGAAGGTAGGGAAAATAGAAGAAAGGAGGAAGGAAGAGAAAGAGAGGGAGAGAGTGAAGGGAGTGGGGACAAGAGAAGGGTTTTTTATCTCTTAGTTTAGATATTAGAGGGAAAGAATTACATATAAATTCAGTTCTGATCCCAAGTGAGAAAGACAGGAAATGCTTCTAGTCCTCCTGGAAGTCACCTAGATAAGGAAAAGGTTGACAGATGTAAAGACAAGACTTGAGGGGAAAGAAAAAGTCAAGGCAGAAGTTTATTTTTGTTTTATAAAATCAAAAGATATAAAAAGGCATAAAATGAAAAGTATCCTTCCCACTCCTATTCTCCATTCACCCAGTTCATAACCCCATTATTCCAGAGAATTTTCTGTGCACATTCAAACAATTCTCTTACTTATGTTAATCCTCAGCAGAGAGCATTTTTCCATTGATTTTTAGAGAGTGAGAGGAGGAGATGAGAGAGAGAGAGAGAGAGAGAGAGAGAGAGAGAGAGAGAGAGAGAGAGAGAGAGAGAGAGAAATACTGATGTGAGAGAAACCCATTGGTTGCCTGCTGCACACTGGATCAAACCTGCAACCCAGGAATGTGCCCTTGACAGGGAGTTGAACCTGAGACACTTTGGTGCGTGGGCTGATGCTCTTACCACTGAACACACTGGCCAGGGCTCTTCCTTATTTTTTAAATACATTTAGTAGCACGCTATACAATATTCTGTACCTTATCTTTTTTTTTTTAAATTATATGTCATGAAGATCTTGCCATATTGGTAGAAAGACCTTTGTCATCCTAAGTAGAATTTCATTATATAGATGTATAGTAATTTATTTAACCATTTGGCTATTGATGGACATATAAGTTGTATTTCATTTTCTGCTAAACTAAATAATACTTAGATTAATTATGTGGATAATTCTACACACTTGCCATTTTGCACATATAATGCACAGTATATCTAAAGGCTAAATTCCAAAAGTAAAAGTGAGGGTAAAAGAAATTTTATAGAAATTGCCAAATTGCTTGTCATAGGGGTTGTATTTCCAAGTTATGTTCCTACTAGAATGTATGAGCACTTACTTCTTTACACTCTTGCCCACATACTTGCTATGAAGCTTAGATAGGTGAGTCTGATAGGTGAGTAATGACATTTGAGTATAGTGTTAATCTTCATTTAGTATCATGGTGAGTATCTTTCATTTAGGAGTTACTTGTCTTTTAGTGGAAAGAAATGTTTAAATTCAATTAATTTACCTGCTTGCACACCCTTGTTTAGCATGTGTACATTTTGTTTGTCGCAAAGGGTAGAGTTCGAGCTCCAGAAATTACCGGTAGAAGATGAAATAGAGTCAGAAGAAATCACACGGTTTACCACCTAGAAAAAACAGGAGACCCCGTTATCATTACCTGCATTCACTGCACAATTAATTACCCACAGAATAAGAAAACACAGTCACCAACCAAAAAGAGCCCTTTCTTATCCAATTCTAATTGCTGAGATGAAGCTTGTGGCAGTGTAAACATGCTACCACATGATTTTATGACAGGGAGGAGGATACTGCTATGGAGGAAACAGCTTGAGCTGTTTCTTGAAGGTAAGAACAAACAAACAAACAGACAGACAAACTAAGTATATTCCTAGGACTTGAAAAATGGAAGATGCTAGCTAAAAATTAGCCTGGTCAGTTTTCAGAATGGAATTTTGACTAAACACCTACGTAAGTTTTGATCAGAGGAGAGGGCCAGGGATAATTATAAAGAGTGGTGAGCAGCAGAGTGCTTTCTAAAACCGGGCTCAGATACTCATACAAGGGTAAATGCTGCAGAGCTGAAACGTCCCTGAGAAATCCTAAATGAGTACTGAAAAAAACATTATAAAGCCCACAAGGCCTTTTTGGTTAAGTTTAGAGCCAGGAGAGCAATGAAGGTTGGAAAAATTCATGGATGTAAGATGATGGTGGAATATTAATGGGTGACAAAAAAGTTATCAAACTGTAGTTGGAGCTATGTTAGATGTCCGGGGAGGGGAAATGTAATTTTCATAGGTATGTATTGCAAGCTGGTGGGTTTAACACAAGTAACCTGAAATATTTTAGAATGAATCATCAATCTGGTAACTTCAACAAGGACTCATAAGGCAGGCAGAGCAAGCCCTGCCAGGTTAGCCTGGTTTTCCCTAGTAGACATGGTCACTAACTGGCAGACAAAAGAATTGTAGTAAGTACTTGATTTTAACAAAATGACAGAAATTCTCATGACATCTTTGAGGGCAAGATGGAGTAATATGGGCTTAATGATAATATAAGTTGGTAGAACTATAATTAGTTGAAACAATCATACCCAAATATTCTTAACAACATAAGAGACCATTACTATGTGACAGATCTTGCATTCAACACAAATATTGACTAAGCGCTTTCTATGCGTCAGTCACTTGGTTTACTCTGGCTATTCCTTAACATTTTACATACCAGCGTCTTGGAGATAGGGGAAGCAGATCTCCCCTACAACGTACACCGGGGAGGGCCTAAATGGCCACAATCCCAGATAACAACAGGAATGACAGTCCAAGTCAAACAAAGCATAGTTGCGAAGTCTCACTCATTAAGCTGGAGGAATGGCAGAAACTTGGATGCAGTAGAAAAAGCTCTGGGTCTGAAGCCAGTCTCAGATCTTCCCTTCACTGTTTCTACTCGAGTAAGCCATAACCTCTCTACACCAGTTTCCCATCTAGAAAGGGAAACTACATTTCTGAAATTATCTAAGTGTTAGAAAGAACATATGATTTAGATTATAAACAGTAAAAAACAAATATAAAACTATGAGGTTATTATGTTTAAAAAAAAAAAAGTATGAGCTCAGAAAGGGTGGTGACGAGGCGACTGACCAGCAAACACTACACCTCTCTGCAGCTGTAAAAGAAAAAAGAAAAAGCAGCAACACTTCAGTACTGAAACAGACTGATTTTCAAGACAGATTATATCCTTTACAAAATGTAAAGTATGCTGTCACTTTTGTGAAAAAGGGTATAAAACGTATGCAGGTATTTGCTTTTTAATATGTAAAATAGCTATGAAAGAAAAGAAACCGGGTTGGAAAGGGAGAGATAAAACTGTTTTTATTTGCAGGTGGCATGATCCTATATATAGAAAATACAAAGGAATCCATGAGGTACTAGAACTAAAAAAAAGTTTAGGTAGAGTGCAGAATGTAAGATCAATAAGAAAAAAAAAACATTGTATTTTTATATTCTAGCATTGAGCAAGATACCAATGCAGGCTGATCTTGGAGCTTTGTAAGTTACATTCCTTGAAAACTGACGCCTTGGACAAATGGGATGAGCTGCTCATGAGCAGTGAGTGGAGGAGCTGTTGAAGCAGAAGTGTTAATGATGGTCCCTTCCAACTCTGAGCTTGAACCTCCTGAAGTTCTGAAGCACACACCCAGTTGTGATAGGCACCACTGGTGTGAAACAACACCCATTTACATCTGATTAAATGAGAAGACTTGGTGTATGTGATTGCATTTCTAGGTTAAGTCCCTGCCTATAAAAAGGTTAAAATACATCCACACAAAAACTTGCCCATGAAAGTTCACAGCAGCTTTGTTAATAACCAAAAAGTTAAATACAAAAGTCTGTCAACTGGTGGCTGGATAAATGTGTATTCATAGAATGGAATGGTATTCTCTCTCTCTCTCTAAAACCCTAATATGCAAATAGATTGAACAGCAGCACCACCAAACTGGTTGCTATGACATGCACTGACTACCAGGGGGTGTGCGTGAAACTTGGCGGGCATTGGCAGCAGTCAGCAGAGTACGGAACATGTGGGAATCGGCTGTGGCAGGATGGTGGAGCAGGTGAACAGGGAGCCAGACTAAGGCGGGGCCCTGGTCATTGGTTACTGAAAATTCGTTCCCGTGTGCCACATTCCTATCCTGCACTCACACCTGCTGCAGGTGCTGTCAGCAGGTGTGAATAGTGGCTGCAAGCCCTGACCGCCCCTGAAGGTTTCTTTACCTGCTCCTAAGAGGCAATCAGGGCAGCACCTGTTGCTCGCACCCACTGCTGGTGCTGGCCCCAATAGCTCTGTGCCACCAGCAGGTGCCAGCAGGGCCAGTGCCATCAGCATGTGGAGGGGCATGTGGCTCAGTGGAAAGAGCATCAGCTTATGGACTGAAGGGTCCCATGGTGGGAGCGGGGCTGCCAGCGGACGGGATCAGAGGCATCGGCTGGAGGGGGCAGGTTGGGGCTTGGAAAATGGGCCGAGACCCGCCCCTGTGCCCACTTAAGCCTCAGGGCTCACAGTTCAAGTACATGGATTAGTGCACTGGGCTCCTACTTTGGTAAAAGGAATACATGCTACAATGTAGATGAACCTAGAAAACATTAAGTGGAAGAAGCCTGTCTCAAAAGATCACATATTATATGATCCCATTTATATAAAATGTCCAGAATAAGAAAATCTATAGGCAGGAAGTAGATCAGTAACCCCAGCTAGGAGCTGGGGCAGGGTGGGAGGTTGGGGGAAACAAGAATTGGCTGCTAATGTGTACAGGGTGTTTTGGGTGTGCTGGAAATGTTTTAAAATTAGAGGGATGGTGCACAACTCCGTGCACACACTGAGACCCAATGAGTTGTACATTTAAATATGAATTTTATGGCATGTGAAGGATCTCAAGAGCTGTAAAAACATATTTATTCATGTGTGGCCAACTGAAGTATGTGTAGATTACGAAGCCTTATTTGGAGCAAAAGCTTCTCTTGCTTTATGGTTCTGCATCTCCTGTTACTGAATCAGAAATATGAGAACAATGGAAAGTGAGCAACAGTATCATTTCACATAATAATAAATAGACTTTCCTAACAAAAATGTAGGTGCTAGGTGTTGTAGATACACTGAAACACTATACACACTCTATAATTAGGGCCAAGTGCAAACTATCAGAATCATGCAATCATGCCATGTTGACTCACAGTTTCACAATAATCGCAACATACAGGTCTGCATTGTGTATGACATTTGTGCTGAGAACCCACTATGGGGTAGAACATTTTTGCTGTCATTTACAGATGCTGTTGGTAAACCACAATATTCCCACTTTCCTCGGTTCATCAGAAAGACTAATGACTCCTCATCTATCCCTCAGGGCCTGGGATTAGCCAGGTGTGATCAGCCCATTCAGTTCTCCATAATGGGGCTTATATATAAAGATTTAAGTGACTACAAGTCAAATGACACTATCAGCTATCATGGTTTAAGCTTGCTGTTGTAGAGTCTTAAAAGGAGATACATGGCTGTTTTTTAAAAAAATATATATTTTTATTGATTTCAAGAGGAAGGGAGGAGAGAGAGAGAAAACATCAATGATGAGAGAGTATCATTGACTGGCTGCCTCCTGAATTCCCCACACTGGGGACCGAGCCCACAGCTTAGGCATGTGCCCTTGACCGGAATCAAACCTGGGACCCTTCAGTCCATAAGCTGATGCTCTTTCCACTGAGCCAAACTGGCTAGGGCTACATGGCTGTTGTTTTAATTTCTATTATTTATGAGAGCAAACTCACCTGCTGATGCCTTACTTTATACTGGGAAAAGGAAGTAATTGCCACCACTTCAGAGATGTTTCAGGCTTTTGTTTTAGTTCAACTAAAATCTAGGTGAGACTCATTCTCATATTTGTTGATCAGAAACACCATCAGATCCAGAAAAAGAAAAGCTTTTCAACTAAAAATTTACTTTAGGTGGAAATAGGAAAACATAATTTAGGAAAAAGGTCATGTTTCCTTACACGACCCTTTATGGCTATTCTTCATGTAGATTGTTATTGCTGACCTTCAGGTAGGCAGGTGCCTGCAAGATGTTTTGCTTTGTTCCCCCTCCCCTCCGCCCCCGAGGAATGGGTTTATGTTATTTCATTTATAACCATTCAAGTTTAGGACCAGAGATACACAACAAGACAGAGTAAAAATTAGAAATATATTCAATGTCATCAAAATCAAAATTTTTGTTGTTGTGAAAAGTTTTTAGTTCTATGCAGGTCAAACTTGGAAATGTAGTTTCAATAATAAAGCTACCCAGTAAAGAGTGACACAATCACAAAGTACCTGTCCCAAAAAGAACACTTTAACATAGTTTCAATTCCTAGAGACAAGATTAAAGCTTAAAAAGCAGAAACTCAGATGATAATTATTATTCAGAACTGGTTATTTATTTCTGCAGGTATGGTAGATAACTATCTAATAAAAGAGAAACATGCAAATTTACCGTACCTCCACTACACCCACCAGCCAATCAGGAGTGAGTATGCAAAATAACCCAACAAGATGGCAGTTAATCTGCATATCCAGGCACAGAGTGAAGACTGAAGACA